GGTCACCACCACTTACCTGGCACTCCCGCAGTCGCCTTCTCCTGTCCGAAGGCCCCCTCCATACACTTCACGTTCCAAGCACACGCCGCTGACGTCACAAGCACGCACGCAGAAAACAGCGACGTTTCACGCACGCGCCACAGACGTGAAAGGGACCGGGCGGCGTGAGGCGGGAGAGCGGGCGGCGCTCGCTGGTGACGTCATACGACGAGCCGAGAGGGAAGGGGCGGGGCCGGGATGAGCCAAACCCGCCCCCGTAAAAGCTCCCTTCAAGAGGGTTGGGCAGAGGGGGCGGGGCTCAGCAGTAGGGGGCGGGGCTCAGCAATCGGGGGCGGGGCCTCGCGTGGAAGGGGCGGAGCCTGGAGCAGGGGGCGGAGCTTCCGCTGTTACGGGCTATATAAGGGGAGGGTCGCTCAGTGGCAGCGATGAACTGGCTGGGAGCAGGTGGGGGTGTCTATGGCCCAGGCCTCTAGACCAGGGAGTGAAGCAGCTGCCAGGGTGACAAATTAGAAAAGACCTGAACTAGGGGATGACTCAGGCAGGGAGGGAGCAAAGAGAAGGGTCCAAACCCCCCCCCCCCCATGATTGTAATTGTCAAAGTGCTGAGGAGAGCCCGGCACCCGGCCGGGGATCCTGCAGGACCTGCTGCCACAATAGCAGGAGCCAGATAAAAATTCAAGCCACCAAATGCAGGTGTAGGTGTTGTGGGTTGGGAGCAGGATTACAAACCGAGTCCCGTGCAGGGCTCTACGGCTGAGCGAGGCGGGAAAGAGAGATGTTCATCCCTTGGAAATAGCTGACTGTATTAGGAAAAGCCTTGGGAAATCTATCAAGAGCTAGAAGGTGACAGGGTGTTCCTGTGCTGGTGGAGTGTATTGCTAAAGAACAGGCTGAAAAAGGCCTGAACACTAAAAGTCTAGGGAAAATCAAAGCAGACTTCCAGCCCACCCAAACGTACGATGCAAACAAGTAGGGGAATATAGGGGGTCCCCTTGGAAATGACTGGAGGTATAGGTGGGGACCACATGCAAGTCATTATGTGAATAATGAGTGGGAATGAGGTGAGAGCAAACTATCCACAGCTGTGCAAATTACATTTAGAAGAAGGGCTTTATCTGCCAGGGTTAAGCTAGGATAGGAGATGTTTTGGATGAAACCATATATTCTGTTCCCCTTTGAGCTGTTATAAGTGCTGAAAGTTTGGAAGCATGGCAAATGTGAGTAAAGTAAAAACAAAGTGTGAGGTAAATGTGGAGGGGAGCATTCATATGTAGAAGGAGCAGAGCTAAAATGTAGCAACTGTGTGGATAAGCACAGTAGAGTTTATGGAGGATGTATGGTAGCTAGACACTCGGATACAAAACAAGGATTATCAACAAGATATTTTATGCAGAAGCTGCTAAAAGGTATTCAAAACAACATGTGGAGAAGGAGGAGAAAACCAGTAACGGGAAGGTACATTGCTACAACATAGTGTCCTGTTTGCACTGCACAAACAGGAAAGAGAATGGAAAAAATAAAGATTATAATAAAAGGAGCAGAAAAGTATTTGCATGCTAGTAATTTGGCAATAGAGTGCATTCATGCAATTTTGAGAGAGGACGATACTGTGGTTTAACTAAATGGTGCTAAAAATGTTTTTGTTGAATGCATAAAGCTTAATAGCACATGGTCAGGAACTCAAAGACTTTTTTTGTAACTGAAGGGCAAATCTGATGTTATCTGTGTACAGAAAATGATGGAAAAGCTGTCTCTTAAGGTCCTAAGAAATAGCAGAGATAGATATGAGAGAGCGAGATGAAGGGGAGGGGGGAGCAGTTTATTTATAAAGGAAAATTTGAGTTGTATTGAAGTGCATGTAAAGAAACTGACTTTTGAGTATACTGCTACTGAGACACCAGAGCAGAATAAAAATACCTTTTTAAGGATGTCTAATAATTACAACCCCTGTAAAGACTTGGAGAGCTCAGAATTAAGAGCCAACGAGTTCATATATTGAATGTGGAGATCTGAATACCCATAACTAAGGCTGTGAATCTGTGATAGAGGTCACTGATTCTGTGATTTTTACGAGACCTCTGTGACTTCTTGAAAATTCCAATAATTCAGCCCCAGGTGGCAGGGCTCGGGCTTCAAGAAATCTGTGATTTATTGTTTGTTGCCTGCATCCTCTTTAATAAAAATAACCGTGCTAAAATTGTAGCCTTAGCCATAACGACTTATAGGGCAGTGGAAAGTCTGATAGCAATGGCAAGCATTTGGAACAGTCCGTGGATGAGCACAATGTGGTAATACTAAACAATGGCGCACCAGCGACGTTTAGCTCAGTTGCTGGTTCCTTTTCCGGTTTGAATCTGGGAATTGCAACTAGCAATATAGCTAGTAAAGATAGGTGGGAAATTTACAAGGAAGAGGGAATGGAAAGTGATCATTTCCCTAAGCTGCTGTTTATGTATGAAAGAGAGGGTGATATTGAAGACACTGGAGGAACTCCTGCTTGGAATTTAAAAGGGCCGATTAGGAGCTTCTCACGAGTAAGTGTGAGGAGTGCTTGAGCAACAAGTGTGTAAGAGATAATAGGAATTCCGTGATAATGTAATAAAAGCAATTATAGCAGCAGCCAAAGTAGATTTTTGTGAGATACTGAATTGCCTTAAAACCAGAACCCCGGTTCTGTGGTGGGATGAAAAATGTGAGATTGGAATTAAAAAAGAGAGACCGAAGGTGTATAGAAAAGCTGCAACCACAACGAACAGTGAGACTTCGAGGGCATCTAAACGAAGTAAGGCAGTGACACAAAGGGTTATGAAGAGGACTAACAAAGAGAGTTGGAAAAAGTATTCTGGGAAAATAGATACCCAGGTGTCAGGGTTTACCAGCAAATTAGGAGAGTGAATGGAACCTGTTGTCTGTTTTGGGGGGAGGGATAGCTCAGTGGTTTGAGCATTGGCCTGCTAAACCCAGGGTAGTGAGTTCAATCCTTGAGGGGGCCACTTAGGGATCTGGGGCAAAAATCAGTACTTGGTCCTGCTAGTGAAGGCAGGGGGCTGGACTCGATGACCTTTCAGGGTCCCTTCCAGTTCTAGGAGATAGGATATCTCCATATATATTTTTTAACCTGGAGCAATAACAGTTTTATCCCTGATCTTATTGAAGAGGATAAAGTGATACATTTGAATAAAGGAAAAGCAGAAATCCTAGCAAGTAATGTGGAGGCTCAAAGTACAGATTATTTTTGGGGGGGAAAAGGAAATTTCTCAAAGAAAATTGTGAGGTCCTTAAATGGTTGGGAAAATGCCAGTGTGCTGAATGAAAACTTCAGTATGTAGGAACTGAAACAAAGCTATAGATAAAAGGCTAAACACTCTTTCCCTGGCGCAGTATTTAAGCATTATATGACATACACTGACCTGAAGGGATTGTAAGAATTGTATTAAAATTATGGAAATGTATAGGGAAAAGGAGTAATAGCAGTAGAATAGAAGTGTGCGGTGATAGTACCAATTGAGAAGTCAGGCAAGCTATTATGAGAACAGCTGTCTAGGCCAATTGCCCTCACATTTTGTGTGGGGAAAGTTACGGAGAAAATGATAAATAAGAGGCTAGTTGCATATTGGGTGAAAAAAGGAGGTCCTAATAGTGCAAAGCAGTTTTAGGCAGGAGAGAGGCACAACTGATCATATTGTAAGATTAGAAACAGAAATACAAAAAGGTCTGAGGATCAGAGTATATGGTAACGGGGGGGTTGGATGTTGAAAAAGCACGATATGCTATGGAGGGAGATTCTGCCACAAGTACTCCTGTTCTTTTTATGGAGGGAGAGTTTATGTAAGTTGTCCATGATAGGGATAGAAGGAAAAATGGTCTGGTGGATAAGAGATTTTTCTAAGAGGACCATATAGGTTAGAGCAGGGAAAGTCTTAGCAAGTATCTATAGTGTTGCCAATGGCACTCCTCAGGGGAGTGTTGTCAGCCCTACTTTAACATTATGATAAAAGATCTGCCAAAAGGCATAAGGGCCTGAGTAGGTATTACCCTATAGCGGATGATGCGCTATATGGGTTAAACACAGGAGAATTAAAGTGGCTGGAGAGAGATTCAATGAAGCACTCAGGGAGGTCTCCGAATGGGGAGAGGCTTGTGGAGTTAAATTTTCGCTAGCTAAAACAAATGGAACGATCATCATTAGAAGAAAGATCAATTACGCTCATCTTTGATATCTTACGGAGAACGGGTGCATGCAGTTGTTTTAAAATTCTGGCTGTATAATTTGGCCCTTCCAAGTCAGCTTATTATCACATAGAAAATATTACAAACAAATGCAAAGGGTTTGGTATTTATTGACTAGACACAAAGATGGGTTAGGAAACACTTCAGGTTAAAAGAAACATCTGATCCTCTGATATGGGAATGGAGGGAGTGATTCCATGAAGAATTTAGAACCAGGGGTGGCCAGAGGTTGAGCAGTGAGCACCCCCCCACCCCCGGCACATTGGAAACTTGGTGCCTGTAGCTCCAGCCCTGGAGTCGGTGCCTATACAAGGAACCATCCCTGATCTAGATGCTTTAAGGTGAGACTACGCTATGGGCGGTTTAGTGAGAGGATTGGGAAAGTGGGGTAACTTTAACAAAATGTGCAAACTCAGTAGCTGAGTCTGCTTTGCTGTAAAGATGGGTCCCTGAACTCTGTCCTGCCCCCTTGGGATCCATCCCTGGCCCCAGGGTCAGAGCATGGGTGGGGCTGGGAGCGCAGCCTGGCCCCAGGGACGTGTTCCTTCCTCGTTATAGGGGTTTAACTCTCACCCCAGGGACATGTCACATGTGGGGAAACTGAGGCACGGAGCAGGGCAGCAACCTGCTCAAAGCCATCCAGCAAGGGAATGGCAGAACTCGGGATAGGACCCAGGGGGGCCAGATTCAGACCCTACTTTACCTAGTAGACCACACTGGAAGGGAACGTAGCCACTTGTTGGGTAGAGCATAGCTTTTGTTTAACAGTAAACACCAACGCTATGTAACCATTCGAGGAAGGGAATTAAGAGGCGGCCCTGGTCCTCTGGGGGGAGGTAAGGAGGCAGACTACACTTACCAAAGTACTATTATTCATTGTGTTTATTGCGGTAGGTGCTGTACAGACACAGAGTGGCAGGGTCCCAAAAGAGCTTAGGTCCTAAACAGCCCAGACAGACCTAGGGGTGGGGGCAGAACACGCAGAGGGAACAATGGGGTGGTGACAAGTGCGGTGTAAATTCCGTTATTGTTATTGGTTTGGAAGGTGGGTTTCGTTAGGAGGGGGCTCAGCCCAATGGAAGGAAGGGGGGGGGGGGCTGGAGCAAACAGCCAATCGCAGGGCAGAGAAGGTCCAGTCAAAACTAGAAAGTTGTCTGATGAATCCTGCTGCTTCCAGCTGTTTCCCTGGTGCAATGTTTCCCCAAGGGCAAGACACTACAGTTAAGTTTCCATTTCAAGACTAATTACCGCTGTTGCTCTGGGGAAAACATTTCTGCTAGAGAGGAAGGATGGGTTTGCGGTTAAGGCACAGGAACGGGACGGGGGAGAGCTGGTTTCAGTTCCCAGCTCTGCTACAGACGTTCTGTGGGACCTTGGGTAAGTCACGGAATCGCTCCGGGGCGTCAGTTCCCAGCCGTACAGCGGGTGACCGTGGGGTCCTGCCTCACAGGGGCGTGGTGAGATACAGGCACGGAAGATTGTAGATAGGTCGGTATGTTTAGTGCCCTCTGGGGAGGAGAGGTATAAAGCACGGGAGGGGAAGGATTCGCTTTAGCCCTGGCTAATAAAAGTGTATTCCCCACGCAGGCTTGAGGGCTCCATTTTGTATGGCAGTAGCACCTACAAGCCCTAGTGGTGGACCAGGATCCCGTTGTGCAAGGCGCTGTGCAAACCCCGAACAAAAAGACAGTCGCTGGCTATTCCGCAGCTGATACTCAGCCGCTGACCCCTCTCCATGCCGTTGCTATGGAAAGCCGGCCTGGTGGAATCAGGGGCCGCCGAGGAGCCCGTCCCTGCAGTGGGAAGTAGGTCACCACGCTAAATAATTAAGTACACAGCTGTGCTTAGGCTGAGACAGGCCTGAAGATGCTGACGTGACGAAAACCAGAGCTGCTCGGTATCAACCTGAGACGTTATCAATAAATAGACTGCCCGGCTCAGTCAGGCGGCTGGCGTGTCCTGCTGCGAGAGCAGGGCCTTTAGACAGCATTCCTAGTGCACTGACACTTTCCTACTCTCCCAGTTCCCTCGCCCCTTCGCTCCCAGGCTTTCCCCCAGAGGCTGGGACAGGGGAAGGAAGGTGAAGCCACCAGACTTGGCGTAAGGGGAGGAAAAGCTCTTTGGCGTTTGAAAGCATTGAGAGAGGGATGCAGCTGCGCTGTCTAGTACCAGGTAGGATCCCAAAGTTGTTGACAGCTGCCAGCACCGAAATGCAGAGAAGGTAACCTGCTCCCAGCAACCTGCGAAAGCAGGGGAATGAGGAGGGTGATATTAAGAATGAAAAGGGCCCTGGGGCCGTCTCCACCTACAGACCCCATGCAGTAAAGGACATGGAACTCAGTTTACCTACCCCCAGAAAAGGATGGGGGAAGTGAACCCTAGGAGTCTGTCGCTACAGGGTGTAGCCGCACACGACTAGATCCCCAGCTGGTGCGAGTCGGCCGAGGGGCCTGTGTCACACCTCGGCTTGTTCTGCTGCTGTAAGGTCCAGGGGGCTGGAGGGAGGCTAGAAGTCTAGACTCAGGGGCTGGTACTGCCTTCCAGGCAAAGCTGGTGGGAAGATGTAGAACGAGCAGCAAGTCAGAGTGGTGAATTCAATTGAAAGGGAGGGACCTGGCCGGCTGTGTGTCGGCTAGGGTGACCAGACAGCAAGTGTGAAAAATCAGGATGGGGGTAATAGGAGCCTATACAAGAAAAAGACCCACAAATCGGGACATCTGGTCACTCTAGTGTTGGCTTTACTTGCCAACTTGTGTCCTACCAAGTGTTTAAAGCTTCTTCATTCCAGCTCCTCAAAGACAGCACAAGCCTTTCTGAACGGCAGCGGCTAAAGCTAAACACAGGGGTTTCCTAAACAGGGGACAAGGAGAACTGGAAATACATGCTGGGCGGTTAGGGGGACAGGACAGGCTGGAGGGGCGGAGGCGTCTTGCTGTGGCATTTCCAGTGTGGTTTTCTTAAGCTTTTATTTGTCGTTAAAACCAAGTTGCTAGCCCTGCTGCTGACCGAGATAACCAACCCTCTGATGTAACTGGGGCTTCTGGAGTCTGCAGGTCGCTGGACACAATTCATTCCCCATTCAGCAGGTGTGACCGCTGAGGCCTTAGGATGGTAGTTTACTTTATTATTGGAACTTTTTCACTACTGCTGGGCAAAGATCTGCACACGCTTACTGTCACATCTCAAGTGGGCAGAGGTTGGGAAAGTAGTACTATTCACTTTCCAACCCCACATCTAGTTTAAACACCTGATTCCAGGCAGGTTTGCACAAAGATGAAAGAGGCTGTGAGATAAAGTGGATTTCTAACTAGAAATCTCCCAGTCTCTAACAGATCCTCTATATGGCATGTTATGGCACTAACTGTGCCAGTAATAGGACTCTCATGCTTATTCTGCAAAAGCATAGACATTGACCACTAGAGCTAAAGGAGAATCTCCCTTAGCTGCTAGCACTACAGGGGCTGTGACACACAGTTGAGCAAGTCTGATTTCATCCACTAGCAGGCAGTGGTACATTTTTATATAAACACTTCCTACATTACAATGTTTTAAAGGGAACCAGACAGCACTGGTCATAACTGAAAATCCAGACCCTCAGTGTTGCTTCTGCACCATGCAAGCTATCAGACCAGCTCAGAATAAGTGTCTGAAGTTCGTTATCCTGCTTGTGGCACCAGCCCATGTCTAGTGTTTAGAGGGGGAAAAAAATTAACCCTCCTCCTGTACTGAACCCAGCCATTCTCTACTAGGAGTGATGGTTTCTGAGCCCCTCCAGCAAGCTGGTATCCTCATGTATATCACCTCTACACTCCAAGCCCCAAAGAGCAGATCCTGACTCCCCCAAGTCCAGGAGTGTGTGGACTGGAGGATTGGGCGGTGGTATTCCAAGCTATGGGGCTCAGTGCTAGAGTCTGGCTTGGAGGTTGGATTCAAGCCCCTCTCTCACTTTTTATTAGTTATAAGAGAGAGGGCAGATGGCCCAGTAGTCAAGGTGCTGCCTTAGGACATAGGAGCCCTAACTTCTATTTCTTGCTGGCCCCCAGGCTCTCTGTGCCTCAGTTCCCCCTCTGTAGAACAGGGATAAGAGCATAGCCCTGTCCCCCAAGGGCATAGGGAGGTGCTTGGTTACCATGGAAATGGCATAGCAATACCATAGATAAAAATCACTGCTCCTTCTCCAACTGCTTGGCTCTGAAGCTGTGAGTTCACCATGGCCCGTGCACTGCCTGTCTCCTGTATATCACACCACTGCAGGAAACTGGCCAGCAGCTGTGGAGCACCCCCTGCCAAAGGGGACTTTTCCAGCCTGGCGTCCCCCTCCAAAGCTCTCCCGTCCCCTCAATGGGCCCTGACCCTGTTCAGCTCCATCTCCAGTCCCCAGGGCAGGGATTCCAAGGCAGAAAGAAAAATGAGTGTCTGACATTTAACTGCCACGAGAGTGGGGTTTTAGGCTGGTTTGGTTTTTAAGGCCAATACAGTGTGTGGGTGGTGTTTAAAGGACAAAACATTCACACCCTCTTAAAAAGGGAACCAGAGGGTTTAGAGCAGAGGAATCCTGGGTTCTAGTCCCTATTGTCCCACTGATTTGCTTGGCTAAGTCACTAATGTTTCCCCAGCTTTAAAATGGGGTCCTGCTTTCCCCCAGTTGTAAAGGGCTTGGAGATGGCTAAGAGGAGTATTAGGAACAGTGCTTTCGCTTGGGGACCCGTAAATATCTCCAGCGGCTGCCCTCGGACTTTCTTCGGTGCAAGGTGAAACATTTCCAGCTTCTGCAGCCGCTCCTTGGAAGTCAATTCTGACTCCGGAGCTAATGGCGTCAACTGCCCACCGCTGGTGCTTTTCCTTCTCAGGTGTATCCTTCTCCAAGGTACAACGGTTGATGACATCAGCATCAAAGCAGCAGAGGAGAGCGCTTACGCTAACACGCAAGGCACTGCTCGGGCTACGCTCATTAGGAAGAGAGCACACACACTCAGGCCTAACCCCCAGCAATGCAGGGAAAAAAAAGATTCCAAACAAGCTTGTTTTGAAATATATTTGCTGTAGCTTTTTATTTTACATGGGGAAACAACTAGCACAGGCTGCCCCTAAAGTGCAAAGCAGAACAGAATATTTTACTGCAAACTACGGGCAGTTTTTGAGCTCATGAGATTAAAATACAGAAGCAGGATTCAAGTAAAAAAAGAGACTGGACCGATCCAGCTAACGAGAACATCCATCATTACATTAGAAGGTTGTTTTTAAAATCCCTTGGAAGGGCTACAATGTGGTCTAGTGGCTAGAGCAGCGGACTGGCGAGCAGGGTGCTCTACCACTGGCCTGCTGGGTGACCTTGGGCAAGTCACTTCCAGTGCCCCGTGCCTCAGTTTCCCCAGCTGTAAAGGGGGTAATGAAGCAGACCTGCCGTTGTAACTGCTTTGAGAGTTACAGATGAAGAGCGCTAGCTATTTTTTAAATGCTCCTGCTTCAAGGCATCAGCTAACAGAGGGGTCAGGAGGAAACTTCCCCCATAGGGAGGTTATTCCATTATTGGCCACTGGGGGTATCCTTGACCCCTTCTGGCACTTCCTCAGTCCATTTAGGTAGGGGGACCAGATGTCCCATTTTTATAGGGACAGTCCTGTTTTTTGGGACTCTCTCTTATATAGGCACCTATTCCCCCCCACCCCCTGTCCCTTTTTTCACAGTTGCTATCTGGTCACCCTACATTTAGGTCTTTACACCACACTCCTTGCTGAATTTAAGAGCACTCCAGTTTGGATGGGGGACACACCCCGGGCATCAGGCCTCCGCCCCAGGCATTGCAAAACCCGGTGGCAGATTTGATCGGCGTGCATGCTTTGCACTTTTCAGCTACTGGCATGTTTGTAGCCAGGGCATCTTTTTGGGTCCACGGAGGGCACCAGGATCCCCAAGACTTGAGTTTATAACCCCAGTTCTTGGTATTTAGAAAGAAGAGTTTAAAAACAAAAACAACGCACAAGGACGTCAATCAGACCAGGGCTCATCCCGCCTCGTGTCCTGTGTCCAACAGGGGGCCGTAGCAGCCGCTTAGAGGCAGGTGCAGAAAACCCAGCAGAAGGTTGCTGTGGAATAACCTGCCCCGGGGACAAGGAAGAAATATTCCCTGCTCCCCTCAGAGTGAGACATTTCTTCCTGATCCCATTAGTCAGCATTTGGCTCGTGGCCTGAAGCAGAAAACGTTTAAATATAGAGAGACTCTTGTATTTTAGAAGGCTTTACTATTCTAACTCAGCAGAGCCTGGTTCTCCAGCAAATGTCCAGTCCTTCCTTTGAGTCCCGCTCAGCTCTTGGCTTCAATGATGTCTTGTGGCAATGGGTTCCCCTGACTAAGTAGGTCCTGTATAGGGAAGAATATTCTACGGTGTCACTTTTAAGCGTCCTGCTTTTGAATTTCATTGACCATCCTTTGTCCTCGTATTATATGCAGTAGAGCGGGGTGGAAACCGGTGCTGGCACAAGCCAAGCCCTGTTATCAAAGTATATTCAGAAAGGGCTAGAGTCTGCCAACCTCACTCCCGCTGAGCGGCAACTTACTTGATACAACTAGCCCACACGGCTACTACTCGGCACGAGTCAACTGGCAGAATAATACGGCCCCGGTGCGTTGGGATCTCAGGCTGTATTGAAGCCCACTGGCTCTCTCCAGTCACCCATCAGCAATTCAAAGCCATACCCCAAATGACACGCCTGAAGGATGCATCTTCTCTTTCACCAGATGTAGCCCTCCAGAGGGAGCTGCAGATAATCCCGCAGAGCCGGGGGCAGTTTGAGTTCGGGGATGGCGGAATGGCACCGCGCTCCCAGGTGCTTTCGCACAGCGTAGCGCGCCAGGTGCTGCAGCTGACGGGGCTGGTTCGTCATCTGGAGAGCAGAGTCGTAGAATGTCTTGTGCTCCTGCCGAGATGGAAGGAGGATTAAAGGAGGCTCCGTCTATCACAGGGCTCGGCAGTGAGTTCAGGGGCAAGGAGGGGCAGACACCAGCTGCTTCCGCGCAGTTAGAGGCAGGTCTCCTACCCAGAAGCCCCTCACTTTAAGTCCCCCATCATGCACTCAAAGGCTGGAAATGAGAAGGTTTCTAGCCATCAGAGGGAGGTTCTGGAGCAGCCTCCAAGGAGAGCATGGGGGGGAGGGGGGACACAACCGAACTCGCTTTAAGATGGAACTGGACAGACTTATGAATGCGATATGATGGGTAGCCTACGACAGCAGGGGCCTGGACTCAATGAGCCAGGAGGTCCCTTCCACGCTTATATCCCAGTCCTCTCTAGAACCTGGAGGATCAAGAACTCTATGGGCATTAACTCCACATCTCCTGTTCTTTGGAATCTTTCCCCAGCCAATGATCTCACCAGTACAGAGCTGTGTTTGGGAGCCACTGATCTAGTCCCCTTGACCAATGCGGGATTGCAGCGGAGAGGGGATTTCTTCATCTGGACCAGTTTTAAAAGTCCCAAGCTATGGACATGGTCCTGCAGCCACAGATCCCACTGTCTGGTCCCCACAGGCGAGTTGCCCAAAGACCCAAATTCTCAAGGTTACGCAGAATACGTGCCATACAGATGTGTACTAGGATGGCTAACGTGTCGCCTACAGCCCCGAGGAAACTGAGCATCAGACTGCATATTAGGCAGCAGTATCAAACCCGCTGTCCCCAGGGGGTATCTCCAGGGCAGAAGCTCGCCCTGCTGCAGCTCCAGATGCACCTGATCTGGGGGCCAAGCCACCAGTCAGCCTCCAGATCCAAGCCCGCTGCACCTCTCCCCTGCTCCGCCTGGTGCCAAGCAGGCTGCGAGCTGGACTTTACCTGCCACATCTCCGGAGGCACCACTTCCACCCAGGAATCGCAGGACGGGATCCGGTCGTAGGAATTCAGCACGACTTCCAGGGCACGAGGGGCCAAGGAGCAGAACTTCAGCATCTGAGAGCCAGGCGGGAGAGAGCAGAGGACAGGGGTGAACTGGCCAGGAGGGAGGAGAAATACAAGGAGGGCGAGAGTGCCAGCGAAGCTAGAGGGAGCCAGAGACGATAGCGCAGTGATGTGGGCCTCAGCCCTAGAGCGCCAGGACTTCCTGCTGTCACAGGGTCAGATCCTAGCAAGGGAGGACTCAACTCTCCCTCCTTGCATGCACGATAGAAGGAGCAAACACAAAGCTTGCCACGTGCACGTTTCAGAAGGTCACCCTACACTGCTGTACCGCATGGCTGCATTTATACTGTACTGCCGTGTAGGGCTGTAGTTTGCAAAGGGGTTTGGGATCCTACAGGGAGGCTGTAGGTGCTCTGGGAATTGCCAGTATCCCACCTCTGATGGCTGGTTCCAGATACTTCAGAGGAAGATGCAAGAAGGGAGTGAATAGTAATGCTATAGATGCAGTTTCTTCCTAACCCCAGCAATTAGTGGCTGGTTTATGCCTTGAAGCATGAGTATGAACCCGTCTCCCTGGCACAAAGGGAGCCTCATACAGAATCAGGAGGTAGGAGATAAAAAAGGCCTGTTAGCCCTCATCATCAGAACAGCCGTGGGTGGCGGGGGGGAGGGGGAGGGGGATTAAGGGAGATTCATTTCACCCCCACCTCCCCTGGCTTTTACTTGTCTCTTGATGTCACCTTCAGCCAAACTAGACAATGTGACTTGTTTCTACCCGAGGAGTTCAATGCACCACACAAACATTACCTGAGCCTCACAACTCTGAGGAGTGAGAAATGGGGAAACCGAGGCACAGAGCCTCCTAAGTGACTTGCCAAGGTCACACTGGGAGCCTGTGGCAAAGCTAGGGACAGAACCCAGGAGTCCTGCTCTAACCATTAGACTCCACTCCTGCCTCCCCTCAGGAGTCCTGACTGCCAGGCTGTGCCCCCAGGCCGTTTCCCTCCCTCACCTTGGGGTTGATGGCCGCCGCCCCATGGTCCAGTAAGGTGGCGATGATGCTCTCGGGCTGCCCGTCCAGGTACTCCTCCACCGCCTGCAGGGCGCAGTCCATGGGCGTGTAGCCGGCGCAGTTGCTGACGTTCACGGCAGCCCCATGCCGGAGCAGCAGCTCCACCAGGCGAGGGTGGCAGTTGCCGCAGGCGTTGTGGAGCGGGGTGTGGTTCTTCCTGCCGGCCGTCCTGGCGTCGGCCCCGCACTCCAGAAGCCGCTTGGCCACCCTGTAGTAGCGCTCGGCCTCGGCGGGCTTGTCGGCGCTGGCGCAGGCGGCGTTGAGGGCCGTCTCTCCTTCCCGGTTCCGGTGGGCGAGGGCGGCCCCGTAGCACAGGTAGAGCTGCAGGTGGGCCTCCAGGCCGTGCTCGGCGGCCACGTGCAGCGGGGTCGTCCGCCTGTCCCTGGTGCTCAGATTCACCAGGGCCCCGTGCTCCAGGAGCAGCTCGGCGCACCTGCAAAAACACACAGCCAGGCTCACCCTTCCCCAGCCCCCACCTCTGCTGCTCCAGGGTGCTTCAGCCTCCCTGCGGAGCCCTGGGGTGGTCCTTCTCTCCCTCTCCCCAGAGCTGCAGCGTTTCTTCCCTTCTCAAGCTGGGTTCAAGTCCCGCTGCCGGGCACGGCCCAGACTGCTCCCCGCCCACCAACCCCAGCAGGGAGCATGGGGTCCCCCCCATGCTCAGGCCTGAGCCCCCTGGGGAATCCGGGCCATTCCATGAAAATTGGGGCCCGGCCCAGGCTAGCGCTGCCCCCATCCACCAACCCCTAGCTCCTGCCACAAATAGCCTGGTTCTGGACACCTTCTTCGCTTCCCCATGATTCCCGTGCAACTCGCAGGACACAGGGATTTGGGGCACGCCTGGGCCTGGCAATCACAGGCTCGGCAGCGGGGCCCCGATCTGCTTGAATTGATCCTGCTGGCCGGGAGCACAAGCCTTCGTCACGCCCACCCCCTCGCCCAGCGTCTTGGGCCGCCACACCAGCCCCGCTGGCTGCTCCCAGGGGCAGTGTCAGAGGACTCCGGAGATCCAGCATCCTCGGGGCAGCAGACGGATTCCCTGGGGCTGCACACACAGCTGGGGGCAGCTCTCTACCACTCACACCACGTGCCTCCATCCTGCGCCAGAGGGAGCTCTCCTAGGGGACATTCAGTCTCTGTGGCCCATACAGCCCTCAGCTTCTCTGCTGACCAAGGGGGTCAGCTGGGATCAGAGGGCGAGTCGGGCTGGCATGCGCTGCTTGGCTAGCAGCTGCAGCTCGCGCTCTGCAATCTCCGCTTTCATTGAAAAACAAAACCAAGGCCAAGATTTTCACAAGGCACTAGTGACTGGAGTGGGGGGAGGGGGGTTTCCAACTGACACACCTGGCAGAGCGCTGATTTTCAGAGGGCATGGTCTGGCAGCCAGGCCTCCTGCAAGGGCAGCTCAGAGACCACCCACAAACCAGAGGTGCCCACGTCACGGGGTCACGTCATCACTAGACTTTTGGCCCCACGCCTCTAGCCCTGACCATGGGGAATAGAATCGTCAAAATACGAACCGAGGCAGCAAGGTCTGCAGACAGCCTGAAATAGCAGCTCAGGGAGGTGCGACCCATCTTGTTAACTCTGAAGACTAGTGACAACTGGTGAAATGAGACCATTTACCTCTTTTGCTACTGACCTAAGCTGGGCATAGTGAGACGATCTAAGGTGGAGCCTTGCGTTGATTTCTCCAGTGTGGGTGGATCTCTGCCTGTGAGCAGAGCTCGGGGGAGTGACATTTCCCCCCCTCCCAAAGTCCAGCTAGTTTGCATGTCGTTGACCTGCCTGCCCTATAGATCTCTGCGGGTTAGGGTAGAAATTCCCCTTCAAGACATACCGCGCCCTGCCCCCACCCCACACTTACCGCAAGGTCTCCGGGGAGGTGCAGAGATGCAGTGGGGCCAGTCCCTCCTCGGACAGCACGTTGGCATTGGCGCCGTAGTTCAGGAGCAGCTGGGTGCACTCGGCACGCTGGTGGATGCAGCTGTCATGGAGGGCGGCCTTCCCGCCCACCACGGCGTCGACCTCTGCCCCCTGCAGAATCAGGTGCTTCACGCAGTCCCGATAGCCTCGGGCCGCCGCGATCCGCAAGGGGGACGTGTGCTTCTTCTGAGGGCTCAGGACCCACAGCCCTGCGGGGGGGTGGGGGGAGGAGGCGGGAAGGAGGGTAGGGGAATCTCAAAAAGCCCTGCACTGGTGTTCCATTCACGGTCATTAAATCGAGTCTGCCAGCCTCGACTCTGTGACCATAATCCACCCTCCTGCCCCCAGGACTTCCCGGAACTCATCTGTGTGACCCGGCCCCAGCAGAGGGCTGGGCACACACGTGATCTCAGGGTCACAGCGAGGCAGGGGGAAGGCGGCAGAGAGAACCGGAGCAACTTGCTCAAGATCTGAGGCGCAATGGGGTTTAGGGGCCAGGGTGTCAGGGAACCAGAGCTCTGGTCCTGGCCTTGCCGGGGCATCTTTGCCAACACTCCTGTGTTTTCCCCTCCCACCACTTATGTGCCTTGGCTATTTAGCCTGCAGACTCTCCAGGACAAGGAGCGACACCGACTACATGTATGTACAGCACCTAGCGCACAGACCCACATTGCAGCTGGCGCGTCTAGGTGCTACCGTAATACAAATAAATGAACGACAACAACTGCACAGCAACTAAGTGGCAGAGCTGGGACTGGAACCCAGGATTTCTGCTGTCCAGCCCCTGCTCTCCAGGAGAAGTCACATGTTCTGGAATGAGCAAGGAACTCAGGAAACCCCGGGGGCTTTCGCTGAACTCTGCTTGGCTCCTTTCTGCTGCACTTTGAGCAAAGCCTCAAGAACGGACACATCCTTGGGAGCACAAGTTCTCTGGCTCTGTTGGGGGGCTGGGGTGGGGGATCATTTAACTAGGGCAGCAGGGGAGAGGAAAGCAGTACTCAGCCCTGGGTTTGTTCCAGCCACAAACCCGGATCAGAAACCCCACCTACGTACCCAGCTCTGCCGACCACATCAGCTCCTCGCTGACCGTCTCCACGATCACGTTCGCGACGGCCTCGTCTTTGAAGATGTTCTTGATGGTCTGCAGGTCCCCGGTGTACAGGACGTTGTGGACGGCAGGGTCCCGGCAGTACCGGGGACGCCGGGCGGGCTTGGGGAGCAGGGAGCTGCTGGTGGCCGGTGGGAACCTCCTGGTCAGGCACTGCCTGGAGAGAGCCCTCCGGCGATCCTCCCACTCCAGCCGCTCTCTCTGCAGGCGCAGCGCGCGCAGGGTGGAGGAAGTGAACGCAAAGGTCTCCCTAGACATTCTCTTGGCTCCGCGGGATGGGGGCCTCCTTGCCTCTGGGACGGGCAGCAGATTAGTGCCCCTTGTCACCTCCTCAGGCTTGTAAATATGGGTATGACCAGAAAACCCCTCCCCTTGTTGATTCAGAAGAGCAAGCCAGGCCATGCTATAAATAGAGGGGATGCTTACCAGGGCAGTCAGCAGAAGTTTGTGCAGGGTCATGTTCTATCCAGGGCCGGTGGCGTTTAGAGGCATTAACCTGTTGCAGGGTGGCAGGAGTTTAAGCAGAACAAACCTACAGCAGCCCGGGGAGAGTTTCCCCAGTCCCTGAGTGGAGAGCGGGGTTGTCCATGCATACACCCCACAGAGCAGGGGGGCTGAGTCCACAAGGGGGCGGGAAGCACTGCGGACGGCTCACCCCTGCTCCGGGCTGAACAGTGTAGTGTTGGGCAGGGAATGCCGCCTCCCTTTCCTCACATGGCCACGCTGCGGCCCTCAGGCGCCCGCTGCCAGGTCTCCACGTGGCCTTGCATTTCAACAGTTACCGTGTCTGACTCAGGGCCTGATTCTGAGAGGTGCCGACAAAGAGCAGTCGTAGGGGGTCAGCACTTCTCAGGATCAGCTCTCTGGGGCCAGGAACTGCTCCTTCTCCTAGCTGCACTGAATAAAACACAACCCTCGGGCCAGAGAATTTGTACCCTCGATTGTAGACACCTGCGAAGGGGAAGCAGGTCACCTCTCTACAGGCCCACAGGGGGAACCAGGGACATTGTGAAGTATTTCCTTAAGCCCTTTCAATTCCAGTCCACCAGTGAAGTGTGAGCAAAGAGGGAGGAAAGGAAACCCCCCAAACCCCACCAATCTTCAGATTAGACAGTTAAATCACAAGCCACGTTTTAACGGGAATCATTGAGGACAGATGGTCTCAACAATTCACCAGCCGTTTTTAACTAGACTGAGGGGGGAACAAAACAAAACAGGTAACATGCTTAAGGCAACATTAGCACACCGGTCACTTCCCCCCAGCCACACATGGGCGTCTCCCTGTTGCGTGGCCTTCTCTTTGTGGGGGCTGGCACTCCAGCCCTGGGCTGCTTTTAACAGGAGATTATCCAGGGGCCTGAAGCATCCCTGTAGTTTAAGTTGGGTAAAAGTTGGTCCTCAGCTGGTGTATGTCAGCAAGGTGCCAGTGAAGTCATGGGGATTACGTTAATTTGCACCAGTTGAGGGTTTTACAGAGCTGAAGAGACACAGAAAGGTTCAGGATTTTTAAGACCATTTCCTCTGTAGTTATTTCCCACCCCACAAATAATTTTCTCCCATCACATTTGTACCCCAGCTCCTGCAGCAGGGCAGTGAAACTGACGAACAGCGATGCCAACTCAGCTGCCTCCACAATCCAAGCGGAGCAAAGAAAAAGTTAAAGGCTGGATTTTTTTTAAAACCACACAATCCTCTTGGTTTTGAGGCGGGACGGTGCCCTCTGCATCACCTTGATATGGGCTTTGATTTGATTTTTTTTTACAACTCGATGGCATCCCCTTAAGGCCAGGGCCTGGGAAGATTTCACAGAAGAACAGAGCTGTCAGATCAGCAGGGTGCCAGGAAGCGAGGTGAGCAGAGGGGAAAGGCTTGGCCCCGGCACTCAGGACATGGGGCGAGCGACGCCGTCACCATCTCAAGCACAGCACAGGGATTCCGGCTGGCCTGGTTGCCATCCCGATGCCCAGTGGAGAACGACGTCGACGCAGCTGCATTTGATACAAGCCTTTGTCTGCGGGGTGCAGTGAAAGGTACCGAGCGCCTTTGATTCTCGGGGAATTTGCTGGGAGTTGCAGTTGCCCAATGGCGGGGAGGATCCGGCTTCAAATATAAAGAACTCCGTTGTCCTCAGCTGCAGCTCCAGTCCTGTTACGGGCTGATCGCGCAGTCCTTGCACGCGTCTCTCCCCAGTGAGGTCAATGGGCACGTTGCAGGAGCACGGCCTGGGATTCCTTCACTCCCAAAAGCAACCCAGCCAGCTCTATGTTAATGCTTTAAAGGAGACATGCTCCAGTTAACAGAAGCCTCCCCACACAGCACCATGCTCCCCTGGCTAGGAGACAGGCTGGCTTTGCATAAAATCGAAGGGGAGGAAAGCGGGGCAGCTGAAGAAAGAGTGTCACACGTGAAAGGTACCGAACACCCATTTAATGCAGGAATCAGATACAAGCAGGGAAAGCTGTATCACTCACGGGTCGTGATCAGTCAAAGGCACCAAGCAAAGACTGCCAGGGTGCTGCTGGAAGGGCCCAGGGTAACAAGGCAGGAATCATTTCACATCAGGGCTGCCAGCGTCGCCCCTGTTCTGTACGGGAGTCCCAGACTATCCGTCAGCACAGCTCCCAGACACACAACAAACTTACCATTCATAAACATATACAGGATACCTAAGGCACACAAGTCACCTCGCTGTTCAGAGTCCTTGCTCTGCCTGGATTCAGCCCGGGTGCTGCCCCTGGCTGAGTGACCATCCAGCTCCGTGCTGGCTGGGGGATCTTTGCCTCGTAGCTCCAGAGAGGGTCACCGGCTGCTCTCCATGGCAGAAGCAGAAAAGAAGTCCTCCGGCAGCTGTCCTAGGAGCCCATCCAGATCGTCTGCACAGACAGGAGAAGAACAGGGGCTCAAGTCCATTTCTTCCCCCTCTTCTTAAATTTTCCCATTTCATCCCCAGGGGCATCCAGACCCGGTCACTGGGAGATTAACCCGTTCACCCCAGGAGTTACACTTCCAAGTGGATGGGCCCACTTCTATGAAAGGATTAAACACATTTGGGAAAGGGAAAAATAAGAGATGACATTAGGGGAAAGATCCATCATGTCTTCCACTTTCTTCCGGGATTCCCTATAGATGGCAGCCATGGCCCTTGTGCGATGGCACCAGTGGAAGGCGTCTGGCCTAGTGGGTGGGTGGGCCGGCCAGATTCGAGTGCCTGGCACCCGCCACTGGAACCAAGTTTTCAGGAGAGCTCAGCTCCCACCATGCGCCCAACAAGCGGAGCTTTTCGGGGAATCTGGCCCGTAACATCTGCAACAGAATCTGCCTTACCCATGTCACAGGCTTCAGCCCCCGGGGGCTCCTCTTGGGAAGGTCTGTTTGACCCCGACGTGCTGTCTCCATGGCAGGATGGTTCTGTCCGCCAGCTGCTGTTTCCATCCCTCCTGGAGCTCCATGTGCTCCTGGGGTTGGGAGCACGCCCGGAGAGATTTTCTGGGGAGTCCTGCTGGAATTCAGCCGGGCTTTGGACCTACAAAGAGCCAGACCCAAGTGAGATGCTCTGGGCTTTCCCTTTGTTTGCTCTCAGCACCACAGCATCAGACCCTTGTTTCCTGATGTCTCCCATGGCAGTACATCCTCCCCATGGAATCTCCTTAGTCCCCCAAGTTCCTTCAAAACACTCCCCTGCAAGGACTTGGATATCGGTTCCTCCTGAGTCCATCAGAGCCCCTCCTTCAGCCCCCTAGCCATGCTCAGCTTCTTAGCACAGCACTCCCAGACCTGGCCAGGTCAGCCTTCGGAAATACCTCACAGAGCACAGGAGACGCCCCCAGCACAGCTCTCTGCTCGGCATTGCACTGTAACTCTAAGGACACTGGCACCGTCCCGTCTCCCATCTCCCCAGGCTCCTGCGACAGCTGCAGGGGGCTCCCAGCCCTGGACTCCGGCAGGTAAATCTTCACCAGGTTGTTGGGGGTCACGTTGAGGTAGTGATTGCGGTGGGACGGGGAGAACACCCCCACCTGCAACCAGAGGGAAAGGTTACTCGCCTGGACCCAGAGTTCTCTGGCCTCTGCCTATTCCCCGCAGCGCTCCCCGCGAGAGGGAAGGGGCAGATGCCACTGGAAAAAGAATCAGCACCTCCATAGGGCTTCGCAGATGTCCCTCTTCACCAGCCTCTGTGACAGATGATTGGCAGTGCTGGGGGCCAATGGCCCAGATCCAAAGCTGGGGCAGTGTGGGATAGATTAATAGGCTTTCCCCCCCCCTTGGGGCAGGTGGGTGAATTCAGTCTCTATGGCCTCTGAGGACAGCCAGCCACCTGGGGGGCGGGAGGGGGAAAACAATCTGTGCCAACTGGTCACTGCCTACAGAAGGATTTTAATGGAGGATGGAAGAGGTCTCCCTCCTTATCCCATTCATCTCAGACAATGGGAGCAGTAAGAGACACCTAGTGGCAGATGAATCTGCGTGTCCCTTCTTAAATCCACCCCGCGAACTGGAGCCCTAAAAGCCATAGGGAATCTACCTCCAGGAACAAAACCGACCCACCTAAGAGTCCTTCAGTACATAACCCTGCCCCTAATCTCCTTTGCCTCAGGTACCTGCTTTAAGAGAAGCACTGAACCGGCCTTCAGGTCGCTCGGTCTCTCCTCCAGCAGCAGGCGGTGCACTGTCCCCTGCATCTCTCCTGCAGACAGGACAGAGAGAACCCATCAGCAACGTGGGGCAGGTGCAGTCAGACCAACGCGGCTGGCACACTGCTTTGTGCCATTATGCATGGGGCAAATCCACCTGCGAGGATGTAGCCAAGAGGCAGTGCTGACAAGCCACCTGGGGAGGGGTGGGGGGGGCAAAATCAGGACAAGGGGGCAAGCTGGAGTGTTACTTCTTCAATGCGCCTCATCTTGCCATTTCCAGTCCAGCTTCCTGGCTCTGACAAAAGAGGAGCCCACTGGAGGACACTGCTAGGATCAATCCTGCACTGGCCCCTGGGAGATAGGCCCTAGCTGATCACGATGTCCAATGAGCGACTCCTCCGCCACGCAGCGTGGAGAGGTCTGTGAGAGTTCACAGCTAACAGGAGGCCAGAGTTAGACAGCAGAGAGGTCACGGTCCCGACGGGGAGCAGCAAGTCTCATGCTTGAGGGGCAGCAGCGGATTGCTGCAGGCGTCGGAAAGGAAGCAAACCCACCGACATACAGAACTACACAATCCTGTCTGTGGGCGTTCTGCATCGCACAGGTCACTGCTAGAGGCAGGCTACGGAGCTGATGGGCCATTGATCAGGTCTGATCAGGCGAACCAGATGTGCCTCATGTGTGTGGTTCATCAGAGCAGAGGGACCCCAGGGAAAGCCAGCGGCAGGCACTACATATATTTTCAGATGGGAAACTAGATCTTTGTATGAGGACAGCCAGCTATTAGCTGTTGGTTATAGTTCCTTTGCTGGTCAACAGCCCTGCTCACCTGCCCCAGTGACCCAACCTCTATCCTTACCGGTAGGATCCTTGAACACGACACCAGCGTCAACATTGGTGCGCGTCAGTGACTTGATCATCACCGCCATGCTGGGGACCTTGTTCTTCGGGAGCTGCTTCAGCGCTGCCTGCACGGAGGACAGACAGACAGAGAACCACTGCCTATGGCAACTCGCTAAAGCGGAGGAAAGGTCACCTTGCGCTGAAAGTCCTGACCTGGGAATTCAGGAGATATGGGGCCCAATTCCAGCCTCTGCCACAGACCCACTACGTGGTCTTGGTCAAGTCGCTTCCCTTCTCTGTACCCAAATCCCACAGGAAGACCTTCGCGGCGGGGGATCTCTCACTATTTGCACTGTCAGCACCAGCACAATGGAACCCCAATCCCCACTGGCACCTGCAGGTGCCACTAACACCAATTACCACAATCAATCTTCAAGGACATGGGGAATTCGGGGCTCCAGGTACGATGCTGCACTCTCATGTTACATGTTCTGCCAAAGGGGTGGGCTAGGATCATGGCACGCACTCTGGGGCCCTCCAGGGCAACTCTGCTAAGAACGTCGCTGGTATTTGATCACGCAACCCAGGTTCCAAGAGCCCCCCTCGGTGAGCTTAACACAGAAGTGTCTGAACCACACTCATCGCTAAGGGAGGACGCAGCGCCACAGCTCTGATGTCAGCCAGGCGAGCTCGGAGGTGCTTCTGTCCCTTCCCTGCTGCTCCTCAGCTTGAGTGGCACAAAGGGAGCAGAAAATCTGCCACAGAAGTATGGATTCCAAAAGGACCTGGGGCTGCAAAGGACACAGGTGGCCCTCAGGCTGAGAAGCGTGGACACCCCTGGATCGAAGCTGATTAGCAGCCTTCAACTTCTAGGCGCCATTCTATACTTCCCCTAAAGCGCATGTGTACAAATGAATGGGAGGGGAATGTTACCACCATCTGGTGCATGTGGCTTTTTAGAAGCCAGTGTATACGCAACGTGGCTAGCAGGTGTCTATTTGAATAATAAAGAGACTTCTGCTCACTTCAATCATGGGCTAGTTTGATCCTCCCATTAATTTGATCTAGGGCTAAATTATTTTCACTAGCCCCTCTCCTCCCACACGACTTCCACCTCTTAACCCCGACAGCTGTAGAGCAGGTAGAACTGAATAATTCAGTCATTGTCTCTAGACATTTCTCATTGCATTGTAAAGAAATAGGCCAAAAATTCTGAAGGAAGCAGCCGAATAAAGGGCCCAGGTACAAGTGACAAGTGCTCCTGCTGGATAGACAAGATCAAATTGCTTATTTCGATCAAAGCATTAGCAATGAACTTGGTCACAGTCAGAGGGAAGCTCAGAAATCCTGTCACAGGCACTTTTTGTGGTTAGCCAAGTGGAATGCTGGGATGAGACTCAACTACCGGCAGGTGCTGAGTTCTGGATGATCATTCACTGGATAGAAGCACCTGGGCCTATTAGAATGTGGTCAATCAAGTATAATCATCTGCTTATAGCAGACATCTGGGTGTATTAGGCCACCATGCCAGTGTAACTTGACTACTGTTTGTAAACTGCTCTGAAGAGAGAAGTGCCATGTGTGGCTGTCCATATAATAAATTATTTTGTGCATGAGCCTTTAATAACCATTTTTAAGACACTAGTTTGTGCAGGGAGAGGATAATTCCCATGGGTCACTGCATCTTAGCGGGAACAGTCCTGGGGCAATGGGATAGTATTTTATCCCGGGATTCCATACTCTGCAGATGATAGGATCTAGCTCCCTGGGGCAGCAGCAGGGACACTACCGTGGTTGTGAAAATAG